ATCTGAAATAAAGAAAGCACAAGAGAGGTAGAATTCCATCATCTTGTAAACTCCTTTCCCAGAGAGGTCCTGAGTCCCCCAGGGCCAAGACCGTAGCTGTTCTCTGCTACTCACCAGCAAAGTGAAAATTCTTGCCTCACAAACTTACAGGGTTTCAGGCAGAAACTACCTTCAGTGTGAAAGGCATGTGCTCACAGCATTGTGAAAAACCCAGGGTAAAACTGGTATTTTGAGCACCTATCACATACCCTTATTATATTTTCTTAAATCAAGTTTCTTCCTCTGAACTTCTAGGCCACTGCTCATTTAATTAAACTTTTGTAGGCATCTATTCTGGAGTTTAAGTCAACTTTTTACAGAATTATTCACACCTCTTATTTATGTAAAATGTTTCATGTCTTTTATGTTTACCTCAATTCCCTTTCAAAACAATAGGGAAAGTACGCCAGGCCCACACCAAACTTTGGGTCAAGGGAAAGAGCTACTCTGGAATTCTGGCTGGGCACCATGAGAGGAGATCTGAGACAGCATCCTGGGTGCCCTAGAGTGTAGCTGGGGAGCAGTGGATGGCAGGAACCAAAAAAATAGGAGGCTGGCTCAGCCTGTTTCTCCCAGCACCCGAGGGAGGACTCTTGCCTTGCCAGGACAAAGGCCTTGTGAGGCGGTGAGGACCCATCTCAATTCTGTCAGGTTTTGCTCAGAAGAGGAATGGGGATGGCTAAAGGCTCCTTGGCCTCTGGTGTGTAAATAAATTGTATCTTTGAGAAAAAAATATCATGCAAGAATTTATAGTTTTCTAAGAAGTCTGAAGTGAAGCTGGTCAAGAACTGAGTATTGATTTTTGTCTTCTGTGGCAGTTTATAGTTTGTGGATGAGTTTTTTATTTGTGATATTAAGAACACAGATTAAGCACTTCTGTTTTACAAACCAACGTGGTGTCCAACTTTTTGAAAAAATCTCCAATTAGGTAGATAGCAAAGTTCACTGGGGAAAATCAAAATCAGAGGTGGTCCTCTGTAAGTAAGGCTAGAAGGATACTGCAACTATTTAGAGAGTGGCATTCTCTTCCTACCTGTCCCCTTTGCCTAGAATTAATGGAATTAATGTCACCTTGGAAGCATCAAAGAAGCTAGAAGAAGAAATTATGAGTTGCATCACTGCATTTCCCAAGGGCATGAAATATCAAGGTTACAAGGAAAAATAGGTTACCTACATGAGGTTTGTTTTCCAGTTTAGAAATCTCTAGATCTGTTGAAAACAGAATTATGTAACTCTGGGTAATATAGCAGTTGGGAAACTAATACAAACAATAAATTATTGTCCCTATCCTTAAGAAAATTTATTTCCTCCATGGAAGAGGAGGTCTAAGGGCCTTACTTGCTGTGCTAGCAAGAGCTTCAAAAGTTTAGGAGGTAAGAGGGACAAAGAGAGATCAGCTCAGTGAACAGGAAAGGCCTCAAGGAGGGAGCAGGTTGTGAGTATCTAAAGAGTAGACTGAATTTGACAGGTAAACATGGGTGTTTGAAGGGAAGGATATTCCAAGCAGAGGGAATTACTATGAAAAAAGGAGACAAAACTTAGAATGCTCAGAAGATGTCAGATAGGTCAGTTTGACTAGACTCAGCCTATGGAATCAAGGTCTAGAAAAGCAGGCTAGTTTTACAAGGGACAAGAAACAGTGTGCACATGCACACGTTCCTATGCCAGAGAAACTTTGAGCTGGTATCCAGATCATCCAGCCTAGTCCTGTTATTTTATATGTAGAAAAAAAATTAAAGGATTGATTTATTGTCCCCAAGTTCAGAGAGTTCGGAGTAAAATCCAGATATTTTAGTAGTCAAGCCATCTTTGCAAATAAATTTGTCTTTAGAGAGTAAATTTTCAAGTACTCTCTAGCCTAATTTTTAAGATTTTACCAGTAAATATCAATTAACTGTTACATTTTGAGCCCCTGTTATTTATATGCAGTATTAACCACCTACCTGGTTATGGGTTAGAAACACATACACAATAAATCTTTTCATAAAAATTCCCAGTGGCATTGCCGGGCACCTTCCCAACATTCCCCTCCACCTTTCCTAAGCTTCTTCAGCCCCTCAGCAGGAGAATATCTAAGCAAAGAGCCAGGATTCAGTGTATGTTTTATAAGTTACAGTAAGTCTAGAAAAATCACCATTTAAATGTGTTATTTCTAATATTATGTTACATATTAACTTTTCAACATAGACAATGAAAAATAGAGAAGTGACCTATTATCTCACTCCTTAGCTAATTCTTGTTGACTTGTTTTTAAATGACATATAAATACATCATAAGAAAATTCAAATACTGCAGAAAAATAAACAGTAAAAATGATAAGTAGGAATTCTCCTTAGTTTGCTCCCAAGTCTTTCCCCAACTATATGCATCACCAACAAATTCTCATCTGTCTTTCCAGGAAAAAAAATGGTATGTACAATTGAAAATGTTTTTCTAAATATAACACTATACACAACGTCCTGTGCTTTGCTTTTTAATTTTCCTGAAAAATATATCTGGAAGGTTTTCTGATACTGCAACCTACAGAAATATTTCTTTTTAAAAGGCTTCATAATATTTCATTATAAGGGTGTTTTGTTATTACAAATAATGCTGAACAATATCTTATATTTACAATGCTTTTGTGAGTATATCCACAAAGTAAATCTCTAGTAGTAGAATTAGTAATTATCATGCTATTCCTCAGCTAAAAACCCTTTAATATATTACTCTACCCCACTGCAGGTTAGAATCAAATCCAAATATTTTGCCTTGATTTACCAGGCTGTATAGACCTGGCTCCTGCTTGCCTCTCCAACCTGTCAGTTGCAAGCTATTTGCTCTCAGTTCTGCAATCTCAGGTCTTACCCCAGGGCTTTTGGACTTGCTCTTACTTCTTATAACCCTGAAGCAGATGGCTGGCTCTTTGTCATTGTATTTTTAACTTAGAGTGACCTCAGTGAGGCCTTCAGGGTTTAAATGAGCACACTAACCCTTTCACATCAAGTGGTTTAATTTTAACATTAGCACTTCACTTTCTAGTAAGTCATTTTGTCTTCCTTTCAGGAATGCAAGCTCCAAGAGTGTCGGATCCCTGTCTCTCTTCTTCCCTACTGAGTGCCAGGAGCTCAGAAGAGCACAGGCTCCAGGAATATCTGGTGAATGAATGGTCAAATGATAAGTGAATTGAAAATGACCATACAGGCTGCTGAATTGCTTTCTAGATTGTCACCAGTTTTCATTGCCAAGGACAGTACCTGTTCTGAGTACTCTCAGCAGCACTTACTACGATCAAGCATTTATCATATTTTGTAACTGTTCGTTTTAAGGGTTAAGAAATGAGAATGTATCTCCCACTTTGAAATAATTTCCTTTTATTTCCTTATAATAATTTCCTTTTAGACACTATTAAGAACAAATCAGTCCTTGGCTGGTGTGACTCAGTGGATTGAGTGCTGGCTTGTGAACTAAAGGGTAGCGGGTTGGATTTCCAGTCTAGGACATACACCTGGGTTGTGGGCCAGGTCTCCAGTAGGGGGCGCGTGAAAAACAGCCACACATTGATGTTTCTCTCCCTCTCTTTCTCCCTCCATTCCACTCTCTAAACATAAATAAAGTCTTTAAAAAAAGAGAACAAATGACATATTTGTTTTTAACATAACCCCAATTCCATCTTTGGAAAACAAATAGGCAATTAGACAATATTTGAATAAGAAACATGGAAAATAAATGAGAATTTCTCAGACTAGTTTGAAATTGATGTGGTGGCTAGCAATCTAGAATACAAAATTTTAAAAAATCGAATCCTTTAAAGACAAAAGTAGTATTTATCCTTGCAACATATAGTAAATTGCTGGATTTTTTCTTCTTTCTTTCATAATTTTTAAATCAATCTTGCATTCACTTTATAACTATCGACAGCTCACAGGCCCAAATACTGCGCTCAAGTCCTTACAGCATCAGGCCACACCCATCTTACAGCCCAATGGGACCAAGTCTTTAGGCCTGAATTTTACCTTCACTGAGAATTCCACCTGCAGAATTCTCTAGAATGACAACTCTTAAAAATTCTGTACATGGAATCTTTGAGAATGTCAACTTATAAATCAATGTCCTAATCATCAACCAGCCTAGCCATTTAATTATATAATCTTATAGTGGATTTTTAAAACTCCTTCTTTAATTTCTTATTACACTTTCCTCCTTGACAGCGATGTTTCTCCTAGTTCCCAGTTTTCAGTGGTTTCCAGGCACTCATTTTGAATGAAAATACCTTGTTTTTGGACTATGGGGGAGGTAGGGAGCCACGCACAGGAGAAGGAAATTTCTTCCTGGTTCTAATATCATCTAATTTTTAAAGCAGAGGTTCCTTATTGTTGTATTTTAAGCTTAAAATTACATCCATAGGTTATATTATTAGATGCTCCATGTCTCATATTTCGTTTTTCCTGACTTCTGGGGAATGAGTGGACGGATGGACCAAGTAGAAAATACGTTTTCCTCTGAGAAAAGAAAGAAGGATTTGTGTAGAAGCGGGGGCTAAAACACTGCTGTGAGACTGGGGAGTCGGTAGGGGTCAACATGACATTTAGCACTCTCCTCCAAGAATTTTGTTCCACCTACCAGCACAATAAAGAGAAATTTCTCATGGATACAAATAAAGTTTCTGCATTGGACCAGTTAATCCAGTTTTCCTATCAGCTAACTTCCTTCCCCCTTTGCCTCAGTTCATTAACTCTACCCCTCCCCATCCCCAAAACTCTCCAGCTAATTTTTCTCCCTCTTCAGGCCACTGTTCACGCTCGATTTTCCACCACCCTCGTCCTATCCTCAGCATCCCCAGCTGGCAAGTCATTTAGGAGTTCTGCCAACCGCCCAGCCCCCAGGTTTAAGTGAGTCAAACTCAGAGCTCTGGAGGGTACCGCGAGGGCAAAGAGGTGGGAAGTGCGTTTTCTTCACGTGTAATCTCGGTTCAAATTTGCCTGGAGTTCTTACAAGACAGCTGGCAGGTTTTACTATTTCCTGTCGCCTATTTGCCAAGCTCGCGGGTACGCATGCCTCAGGGCTGAGCCCCGCACGCCGAAACTACGCTGAGAGACCAGGCTAGGCGGCCCACTAGGTCGGTACAGGGGGCTGTGGCTGACCTCGAGAACACTTCCTCCCTCTTCTCCTCCTCTCTCCACTCCCCTAGTCACCTTCGCGTAGGCAAAACGCCCCCAGGCTGGAGAGGTCTCGCGCGCTCTCGCTCTCCCTCTCCCTGGCAAAGGGTTAATTTTTCTGATCACACGAGGGGGAGGAGATTTCCCTGTAGACAAGTAAAAAGGGTGATGGACAAACGTGCGGGCACTAAGACCGCAAGGCATTCATTTCCTCCTACGGTGGATGCGGACGCCGGGAGGAGGAGAGCCCCACGACGAGGAGCTGCGAGCAGAGCGCAGGCAATGCTCAGCCCTGGATGTAGCTGAGAGGCTGGGAGAGGCCGATCGCCGCGACCCAGCGGCGAGGGGAAGACCTGGGGGGCGGGTGGGGGAAACAATCACTCGAAACCTAGTGCTTTACAGATTATTTTATTTTGTGTAGAGAACACATAGCGTCTCCGAAGATCAGCCCCAATGAACATGTCAGTGTTGACTTTACAAGAATATGAATTCGAAAAGCAGTTCAACGAGAATGAAGCCATCCAATGGATGCAGGAAAACTGGTAGGTGATGCTTTCACGGGATCGGTGTCTCGGAGCCCTGCGCGTCTTCCCCGTGCACCTTAATGTCTGTTCCCCGCCTGGGTGTGAATGGAGCGGGGAATCGCGGGCCGCAGAGAGCCGGCCCCTGGGAGCAGGGCGTCCATGAAGCGCGTAGGTTTGGATGCCCCTGTGCGAACCGCGGCTACACTTGCATCTTTAACACAGATTATATAACACGGGACGTATATACTGTATATATGTTTGTATGTACATAGAGGTGTTTGCGTGGCAGGGAAGGAGGGAGAGATGCCACAGTGCAGGTTCCCTACCTGTGCTGCCTCCTGGCTTTCATCTACAGTGGGGTTTTCTTGCTGGGCCTCCCGCAAGCGGTGTGTGCTAGGCTGTGGAGGAGAACCTGGTCTGCGGCTCAGCTTAACCCTCTCCCATCCGCTGACCTCGGCTCTCTAGTCTTCTCCCTCTCCCCATCCCTCTTGTCCTTCCCTTCTGCTTGCGGGTCTCCACTTCTCTGCTCTCTCTGCGCTCCCCAGCCGGATTCCTGCTCTCCTGGACCCCTTTGCCCACGCGGATCCTTTCCGGTTTCATAAAGAGGCGGGGGGGTTGGGGGAGGGGACAATGAAAACAGAAAAATGAATGAACCCAAGCTAGTGGAGCCACGCCATTAAGTTTGTTTTACGGAAACGCCTTTTGGATACACTCAGTTCTAATTCCCTGGGAGGCTGCTGAGAGGAGTTGAGACATTAAAATCTGCGTCCGCAGAGTCCTTGGGGACGCATCCCCAGACAAACTTCTAATCGGGGAAAGCATCTTACTTCTCTACTGTGTTCCCTCCACCGGGTTTTAAAAAAATCCCTGTGTGGGAGGCAATCCTGTGTCACCTTGCAATATGTAACAGAGTAGGGCTAGGGTGTGTTCATCTGGTTCTTCCTTGCAGGCTGAGTTGCTGTGGCGGACATTCCCTCCCTCCCCTAAACCCCGGCTCTGGCCATCAGTAAGGTGGTAGCCCGACGCACTTGCAGCTGGGCAGTGGCCTGCTGCTTCTCGGGTGTTGGAAGAGGTGGGGAGTTCGGAACAAGGGGACTCGCGGGCGCAGAGGGACCCCGCCCACCGTGTGCCCCGCGCCCTCACGACCTGCCTTCCCTCCCCCATCTGGGCTGTGCGAAACCGGAGACGCTGGCGCGCTGGGGGCCAGGGCGGGTTAACGCTCTAGGAGGGCTTCCGCGGGCCGGAGCTCGGAGGGGGTTCAACTTCCTTTCCTCCGGTCCCCAGTAGTAGCGACTGGCCTCGGGTGATTTGGCCACCTCTCTCGCTTCCTCCCACTCGGCAGTCCGGCCGGCGGTCTGCGGCGCCGGGGAGCGCGGGGCGCTGGAGGCCCCCGCGGGGCCAAAGCCGGAAGCCGGGAGGGGCTGGCGATCCACTCGGATGGCTGGGAAGTGAGGCGGGCGCTGGGGCGCGGGGCTGGGGTCCATCCTGGGCCTCCGAGGCAGAGAGCGCCAGGGGTGGGTAGTGGTGCAAGGAGGCTGTACTCGCGAGGCTTGATCCCCTAACAGTCTAGACTTGAAAGGCCTCGGCTCTGGGGAAAGCCGAGCCCCTCACGCGGGGACCTTCTCCATCCAGATGCACTTCCTCCTCTTCCCGCGTGGGGGGTGGCGCGGAAGGCTGGTTGGGGGCGGCGGCCCGCGCGGCCGCGGAGGGCTGGGATCTTGCCTGCAGTTGTTTGCTGTATCTCCTGCCACACGACTGGAGCCCATCTGCCCCCACCGCCCCCCATTATCCCTTTGCGCTCTGCGTTTTCTAAGGTCGGCGTGCCTCCGACTTGTTGCGCCCCGGTCGAACCTGCCCTTCTGGAGCCGGCTTCCCCTCGCGCCGGCTGTCCCCACTCACTGTCCGCCAGCCCTCTCCCACCAGCGCCGCCGCCAACACTGCCTCTCTTTCACTTTTGCCATTCTCTGGGGTCACTTTCTGTGCCTCCTTCAGGTACCATTTCCGGCGTCTTTTCTGCATTCACTCAACAAGCACACACTGAGCCAGACAGGGCCTAATCCTCATGGGACTGAAACTGGCAAAAATGCGCCAATTCAGCTTCTCCCTTTCGGCTCAGACCGTTGTTTTCTCTAGCTCCTTATCTGTACTTTTCTTCTGGCAGTCTCTTTCCTGGCTTATATTTATTCATCTACACGAATATGTGCAGATAGGTCTGTGCCTCCTACCAGACCATCAGCTCTTTAGGGTATAGATCTGGTCTCATTCCACTCTAGATTACCCAGAGCACCTCAAAAAAGGCTTTGTACATGGGCAGATGCTGGGGAACATGCTTGTCCAGTGAGTTATGAAATGATCGGTCCCCTCTTTATTGCAGGCACTACCTGTTAACATCTGAAGCTTAGCATATTTGGTCTTCCCCTGCACTTGCATACTCTGTCAGTGGCCCATACAGGGATTTTCTCCTCCCTGCCTTTTCTCTTTTTGTTGATTTTATGTTCTTGGCTTGCGGATTGCAGTCAAACCAAACCAAAACAAAACAAAACCTCTGCTGACTGTTAACCTCTTCCATGCACGTCTTCCTGACCCTAATTTTCTTGCTTTTTTCTTATATTCCAGAGTGTGTGTGCCCAGTTTTATAAACCTCCCTCCCATAACCCCAACAGCAAAAAGTCTTGAACCAAGTGTATAAGACAATGAAGATTTTCTTTCTGTTTTCCTTGTTAACAGCACAAGGGAGCTCCATAACTAAGTCTTAGAAACCCTTTTGGGGGCAGGGGAAGCTTAGGAAACCACAGGGCCTTAACTTTTCCAGACTCCTTAACTTAAAATGGTTTGCAATAGCTTTTGGAGGAAAACACAATGTTGTGAAGTTTCTGCCATGTCTTTTGAGAAATCATCTGCAGTTGTCCTTTAAAAATCCTCTAGATATAGCCTCAAACAAAACTTGGTAATTTAGAGAATTATAATTTATCTCAGAAATGAGCTATGCTGTCTTTTGAAGAATTTTTGAGGCCTGCCAGGGATGCTGTTTTGTTAGTATGCTGTCTAGTACCTACTCTTATTTAAGAGGACCTTAAGTAAAGTAGCTTATTAAACATGTTCTATAATCCATATTCATTACCTTATTACATATTAATGTAATAGAGCCCTTATTTTGGAGTGGTGTTGTATAAACACTAAAGAGTCCAGCTGAGGCAAGTTTGTCAAATTTATTACTACTTTGGTGAATGATTAACCCTATATTCATATTATTTCTAGACACAGGATATATAGACTTTTTGCTTTTTTAGCGAATAGTTTTTACCTGTAACAAATTAGAAGAGCAATTGAAATGCAAGAGGATATATTCCCTTGGATAGTCATCCTGAGCCTCATCTTGAAAGTTCATGTCAAGTTAAAAATATCTGGGGTAATGTTATCTGGTAAATGAGAGTTAATTACATGAGGTAGAAGAAAATGCCTGCTTGTTTAGCTCAATAGCATTTTTGAGTTGTGATTTTACAACATTGAAGAGACATTTTGTTCTTTTCTGAGATATCTGGCCTTTACCTGCTATTCTCACTAATAGTGGACTTAATTTATAAAGGCTCCTAGCAAGGAGCAAAATCACCTAGTGATTGGTAAGGTGACAAAATTCATTGAGTGAGAAAGGCAGCTGGGCACTGCCTTCCCTTTCAGCAGCCTGCCAGGTCTGTGCTCACAGCAGTGGATGCTTCTTGTTCAGTTGTAAATGTCTGGCCAATGATGATTATCTTCTGATGTCGGCTGACAGGGTGTTCACCAATAGGAAAGCAGGAGGCCTGTGCTGACTGCTGCAACATTATGTATGCGAGGTGACGTCATCACAGGGCTTGCCTAGAACCTCCTGAAATCCTCCCCAGCTCTCCTCTGGCTTCCTCTACATCCAGCCTTGCAATGCTTTGTATATTTTTTCTGACTGTTTTCCCCTCCCACCTCCAGTGATATTTTAAGGGTTTTAATTTTTTGTGCTCTGTATAATGAGGTCTATAAAATAGTAGGAATTTTTAGAATTGAATACTCTGTGTAAGGAAACTTTTACCCACAAATTTGTTTTTACTAAGAAAAAAATTATAAGAAACACTATTTAAGAGAATCGTATACCTATAAGTTTTTATATTTGAGGTTTAGAAAGTAACATGATATACAATTTCTGTAGTAAAATACAAAAGCATTATAAGCCTGTATTAATAATATCTTACTCAAAAATACATAATCATAATGTTTATCAAACTTTAAATTGCAGGCTGTTTTTCCTGTAATGCCAGTTGCTTTGCATTGATCCCTAAAATCCTCCTGTGGCCTGCTGTATGCATTTATAAGAAAAATGTCTGGAAAATAATGCAATCTGAGATCATGAAACAGAAAAAGCCACAGAGTCTCATTTAATCAGTGACACTACAGCAAAAACAAATGTAGTCAGCTCTCTAGGAAAGTACTGTGTCTACATTGTACTTATTATGTTGCTAGCCACTTATTTATCGCAGTTCATATTAGCTTTAAGACTTTAAAGTCCTAAGTGTAAGGAACTTAACCTGTTATTCAATAAACTTTAGAAAGCACTGGAATGAATACTGGCCTAACATGAACTAAATTAAGAATGAGAAGACTGAGAAAATGTATACAAAAGAAAAATATGATCTATTTTATGATCCTAAAAAAGAATAAAATCTTGTTTGGAAATTTTTATCTGAAAACTTTCATGTATCTTTAAAGATAATTGATTTATATTTATGCAGGGTTTTTTTAAGGATTCCCAGGTATAATGCAAATTCTTTAATTATATTATTCATCTCTTATTTGTATTAGCTATAAATAGTACATGATGGTAAAATTTTTACATAAGGCCTTTGTTAAATTGGGAGTTAACTTTTGTGGTGTAGAGAAGCCTGCTTGTTGCTTTTAATGTGAGATGATAATGCTAATATTAGGTGTCAGTGTCACATTGGAATTTAACTCCAAAGTCAACTCATGTCAGATCTAAGAGTTACTTTGCATAC